TATCGAAGTTTGTTTATAATATCCATCCCTCCTGGAAGTCATTGTATAATTCACACACTGAGTTAGAGCCCTGCGCGGGACTGTTTTCTTAAACCCGCACCCGCCCGCTCCCGCTGAATGTATGACCAGGCCGCTGTTTTCAGCACCCTGGACAGTTCCTGTATCTGCACAGGTGCCTCTGCGCGTTCCACTAGCGTTTGTTTGCATTGCAGACCTAGGGCCCTTTCTCTAGAGAGCTTCATAGCACTGTAGCCTATTGATTAGACATAGAAGAATAGGCTCTCAATAACAGTTTCTAGTCCCAAATGTTAGCTTTCCCATGCATCAAATGATAACACGTTGGTTCGTATATGATGCAAGTGGGAAGGTTCTGTGTCATTTAAAAGCAGAGTTGTTCACATAGTTTTGGGTGCATATGTGTGTACGCACAAGCTGTGAGCTGATTCGCTATTTAACCAAAAAGACTCGACAAGGTTAGGCCAGCCTGTTAATGGCTCTTCTGTCAGGGCGATTGTAAACAGATGGCACCTTTAATTTTAGCATTTAGCCATTTACAAATATGCAAATGACTGGAAGTAGCCCAGGCGTGCATTTCACTTATATTTGCTTATTCGCGGAGGGTAACGTCAGGGGGGAAACTGAGGATGTCTTAAATGGGGAATCAACAAAACAATACTTAGTGAGAAAATAAATAGCGTGCATCGCGAAGGGATTAGAAATGTAAGCGAAGCCAAACTCGCTGCCGTTGTTGCCTGCCAAGAACAGCGGGGGTCCCGAAACTCACCCTTGGTTCTCCTTTTTTCCAGCATGCAGCCCACCGGCATCCCCTGACTCCAGATATTACCAAACGCTATTTAGTCACTGCTTAAACCCTGCATGTTGTAAAAGGATTATTACTTTCAGGAGATTATAGATATATAGATTTATTAGACCCATTTCTAAAAAGTTTACAATAATAATAATTATTATTATTTTGTTCTGTTGTTTTAAATAGTCCCAGACATATATTTTATTTAACAATAGACAGAGCATTGGTTATGGTGTTTGCGTTCGCGTTCTAATCCGATACACTAACACAACTGTAAACTGCGTGCTATTGTTTACATGGAGAGAGGGAAGCAGGTAGACAGACCACGGGTGACCTGATCCGGATTTATTCCAGTGAACAGACATGCCTGTGGCTTTCAGTACCCGTGAAAACACAGCTCTCTGACAATGGGCCGCAATGATATTACCGCACAATATGTAAAGCTAATGCATAAGGAAATGTGGGCAAACATATCAATGGCTAATAAAAAAAATCGTACGCTGATATTTGAGTTGTTTTACTTTTAACTGATAAATTAAATTATATATTGGGAATTCCGTGTGGACATACACGCAGCAGAATAGCTACCTGTACAAAATTTAAAGGTTTAAATTTTAACAATATATGATAGCCTATTCAAGTAATTTCCGCTAAATGATAAAAAGCTGCTAAAGTTTGTGAATACGGTCTCTAATTCACTCGAATAAATTGGAGTGTATGTAATGTTTGCATCTCCTCAACTAACAAAATGATTACCTGGGTAAATATTTAAAATTCCTTCGATTTGAGGCTACTTTGTCAAACCGCTGGGCGATCCGGTACTCTCTATTGATGCGAGCCAGTATCTTAATCCAGTGCATTTCCCTGTAAATAGCTTTATGCATGAGAAAAGAACGGGATCCCCCACCGCGCGCACAGATCACTCCTTCAGAATTAAGACGCAGCGATGGCTATTTGGATTTTCTACACTTATTTCTTTAGACATAATGCAAAAGACGTGCAAACTTAACTTCTATAAATGTGTCTCTATTTATCGACCATTCTAACAATTAATTACCTTGTGGTTGCCACTAGATTTAAGTCTCAAATGCTGCATTAATCACACAGAAATAAATGGAGTCATTATAGTCTCAATAAAAATCATCTCAAAAGTCTATGAAGAATCGAACAGCATCTTCCAGTCCTAATGTGCTGTCCAGGATCCAAGTCTGGTGATGCCCAAAACGCAAGCCTTCTAACTAAATACACATTTTCTGATTTTACTGGTCGAGTCCAAATTCGGTAAGAACAAAAAAATAAATAAATAGCACGTCGAAGAAATAATTAGCTTTACCACCCTCAGCCTTTATAGACGTTTTACCAAACCCAAGGTAGAACTTTGGAAGCAATCTGAGAGTACCAATATTTAAACCCGTTGCCATGGCAACTTGTCCGCTATTGGCCACCGCGGCGTAAGTACAAGGAAAACGTCATCAAATCTGAATGCGGATGCGAGAGGCTCCCGCGAACTGGAACAGAGTGATGCAAAAAGTGTCGGTGAGGTGAGTGGACACACGCAGGTGGATCAAGAGCACACAACCAAACCAGGAGGAAAACTTGGAGAAGCCTTTTTGTTAGCGGACTCTGCAACGAATAGATTTATTTTCTGATTCCGTGGATTTCTGGATGCCGACATGTATAATGCATAACAATCACGTCCGTAGTGTTTACCTCTAGGCGTGGTGGAGACTCGTTCTCAAGACGGAACATTTGCTCTGCTGTTGCCTCCCTCTCCAAGAAGCCAAGACGTTGTTCCGCACCGATTCGTGTGGCCCCAATCCGAGGCGCGGTGCCCGTTTGGGAAGGTCGGCTCTCGGTCCCCTCCAGGGCGGAATGATGGTTCACTGCGCGGGGTGCGAGAGGCCCATTCTCGATCGGTTCCTCTTGAACGTTCTCGACCGCGCATGGCACGCCAAGTGTGTCCAGTGCTGCGAGTGTAACTGCAACCTGACCGAAAAATGTTTCTCCAGGGATGGAAAGCTCTATTGCAAAATGGACTTTTTCAGGTAAGAAGCTGCTTGCGTTTGGGCTGCCTCACCTCGTCAAACTTCTGGACTAATCCGCATTTGAAGAATGTGTCATGTAGGATTTACCTACCCTTGTTTTCCTCTTATGTGGATGAGGCTCATTTTGTGGATTAACCTGCCTAAAATGTGTAATGTACTGTTAAACCTTTGATCCTCCGTCGTTCATTAATAGCTTTTGATTGATGAGCCATTCATTGCTTATTGTATTCACACGCTTTCGGCGTGAGGATTCCTCTTGAAGACCTTTGTGCACATGATTGTGGGAAAAAATATCTGTTAGTAAAGTAATTGTTTTTTAATGCCCGAAAACACGCTATTATTTTGCTCATTATTATTATGCATTTGAATCCTGCATTGTAGGCCATATATTGGATAACTATTATAACGATTGAACAAAACCGACTGCTGTGTTTTTTCACATTTATCCAGAAATATAAACGAACATTCCAGCGAAAAGGATTTCTTTTTAACACACAGGAAATATATAATTTAAATCCAGTTAACCTCTAAACTGATAGCTAAAACAGCCAATATAATTTAAATGTGTTGTTAATAATTCAGAAACGATTTAATAAAATGAGCGTTTAAAAATAACTTTATTAGTCTCTGTGAAATATTCTAAACATTCCTAAACAAAAATTTATTTCTTTAAATAAAAAAAATACATCAATAAAATATGCACTAAATTCCTAAAAGATTAGAACCCAAACAAGACAGTTTCTAAACACCTGTGTTGCGTACCTGTTATGGTATTGTTGTAGTCTCAGAACAGGCCGCTTATTTTCTTATATTAGTGCTTAAAATCGCTGTCAGGTTTTCTTCTAGTTTACATTTCTCTGAGCTATTTAATGTCATCCAGTGTTTAAGCTTTCATATGTGCCATTGTTATCCCAAACGGCCTTGACCATTACGTTCTATGGGGCCCATCCAGCTCTGCGCTTGAATGTGGAGCCATTAGTGAGGCGAAACAGTAATCACCCGTAATGCGTCCATTTGTTGTGTAAGTAGTGTTATGGCCTTTCACTGGGAGAGATGCATTTGAAAAGCGCGAGAGCGACTCGATACCATAACAAATGGGGGAAGATTTAGTACATTAGTGTTAAAATAAACCCGAGGGGAGAAACAGAAGGGAGCAGTGCGCTTGACGTGCCTCACAACCAAGACCGGCCTGTATACCTGGTCTTTCTCGTCTCATTGTCATTGAAATATGAATTGAACAAACTACACGAACTGTATTATTTCCCCCTCTACTTCGAGGAAAAAACTGTAGGCGCAGATTAATAAATCAGAAAAAGAACAACATCCTGCAATTGTCGGATTATCTCTCAATTCATAGAGGATGAATGGATAAATGTAAGAAAATCAGGTTTTGTATTTGTAGATGTGTATATAAATACAAAAATGTAGTTCCATTTTTATTTTAACGACAACTCACACTCATTCTAAGATATTAATATTACAGGTGAACTGACTTGCGTTTGTGTTTAACACCTAAAATTAGGTTTTGGTATCTTGGCTAATCCCACAATATCACTGACTTTTTCTTGAGCCTACTGCCAAATTCCTTCAGAATTATGGCATGGTTTATTAAAATGCTAATGCCCGTTATAAATATTAAAGATATTTTTTCCATATAAATGATTTAAATTTTTGAAAAATTATAGCCTACATTATTATCTCATAATAATATACTTTTCAAATCACTGTCAGCTGACACAGTGAGTGAAAATCGTGTGCGTGCTCCACCAGTATTGCAGTAATTTTAGTGACATAATTAATATGATAATATTCAAGATATACAGAATGGACAATTTACTTATTGCATGCACATATATACACGTAGGATATACAAGTACTTGGAATGGAAAATAAATTGCAGAATGCTTTTTGGTATTCAGTATGGTCCTTTACAGTCGCCGGTTGAGTGTCTGTAAAATAAACAATTATTGGCACAGTATGTAGTAGCTACTGGAGTGCAATAACATCAATGTCCATGACGTAACCTTTGTGTTGACAGGCTTAACATGCTGCGGTATTGTTTTTTATTTTATTTTATTTTGTTATATATATATATATATATATATATAAAATATTGTTCTGCATTTCATCTCTGTGTCCCTCTACAGGCGTTTTGGTACGAAATGCGCGGGCTGCTTGCAGGGCATTTCGCCCAGCGACCTCGTGAGAAGAGCGCGCAGCAAGGTGTTCCATCTGAAATGTTTCACGTGCATGGTGTGCAACAAACAGCTGTCCACGGGCGAGGAGCTCTACGTCATCGACGAAAACAAATTTGTGTGTAAAGAGGACTACATGAGCGCGAGCGCTATCAAAGAGGTCAATTTAAATTCAGGTGAGCACGACGACTGGAGCTGTGCGTTTAAGGATTGCGTGCGTGTGTGTGTGTGTGTGTGTGTGTGACAGTGAGAGAGAGAAGGTTTCCATCTCTCTGAAAGAGTCCGACTCATTTGTGTGAATCATGGGTCAATGACTTGGCGCTCATTTTTTTTACATGAATCTATTAAGTTATTTCAAAATTACATTGAAACGGCAATTCATATAAAATTACTTGATTAACATGATTCCAGTTTCGAAATTAATTTAGATTTTTTTTGTGGTATAAAATATAAGTAAAACCGTCAAAAATCTCTGAAAAATAAAGTTTGGCTCAAGTAGTTTGTCATTTGTTTCTATTGTTGTTGATTTTTAAAAAGTAGTGAAGAAATTATTTTTAAAACATGATTAATAGTTATAGCCTATCGATGTCAATATGGAATAACCAGCATGCAGGAAGCCATTTTGTTGTCATGTGATATGAAATCTATAAAATAGAGAGAACACCTTTAGACCCTCATAACTGTGTCAAGGTCATTACATTAATTTTGATCTTTTAAATTAAATGCTTAAAACTCGAAATTCATAAAGAAGGAAAACATATTTGAAAATAACGATTAGGCTAAGTGTCCAAGAACAATATTTTAGGCTAGACATTTTTCATTGAAGGTTACACCATATGACATTATTCATTAAGTAAAATATTTTATATTTTTGTACAAAACTGTAGGCCTATATGTTTTTTTTTTTAAACTAACACGAATACAGACGATTATATTTTTTAAAAACTTGGCACGTTTTAAACTAGACATTAAGATGTCATAAAATGAATCTAGCCTATTCCTCTTATTAACATTCAGGAAAGCGCATTCGTTTTTCATTTAAATTAATCAATACACATTTTCTTAAAACGGGTTAATTTGGTGTGTTTGTTTGTCGTCTACTCATTATACAGTATTGTCTCACGTGCTCTGCGTATCTTTCTAAGATGTAAATGCACATTAACAGAGCCTGTGTGTTGTATTCAAATGTAAAATCCATTCAAAGAAAACGACTAGCCCGATTCAGAGGTGTGTTGGTTCACCATTTACTTGTGTCCCCGTGTGACTGTGATGCTCACGAGTGTTCAGAATCACGGATAGGCTGTTTGTTTCCCAACACAAGATGACATCATTATCGCCTCCACTTGTGGGTCAGTGCTAGTCCAATTAATTTAACAGCGACTGAGTGCTTCGTCCAGTCGCTTTAAAAGGGACGTACAACACTCAGATTCATTAATGCTGCAAATGGTCTTTTGAAATTTGTGGCGTGCTATTTTTTTATTATTTTTTTTTAAGAGTAATCTTGATTTGAATGACTTGTATAAATGCATATTTGTAAGAAAAAATAAATAAATAAAATAGCATATCCAGCCAAGGCCACTATAAGGATAAATCTCACCGGTTTTTAATCGATCATGCAAAAATAGTGTTACATTTGAGCAAAATTTTATTAAATTAAATTTTTTAAAGAACAACTTATTTTAGAATTCTAGTATAAAAGTAAATGCAGGCCTTTTTTAAATGATGATAGTCCATGTACGTGAATATGATTCAGACAATCCATTTTTTATATTGCAAGCTGAGGACTCTTTTGGTTTAGTGTTGTCCACCTATGGAGAAGTGTCCATAACTCATTCTCCTCAGCCCATGCGTTCTTGTCAGATAAACGTCTGTAGTCGTCTCCGCGCTTTTCAGACAATGACAAGCTGTTATCAAGCACAGCAGCCTGTCCCAAGAGACAACCAGACTTAATTCCTCCATATTTTGCAGAAGTGATTCATGTTTAGACCCCTGTTTTTTTTTCTTTCTTTGTTTCTTTCCTTTTTTGTTTTTTTTTGGTCCGTCATATTAAAGCAAGAAGGCCCCAATATCTGATGATCTTGCGTGAAACCCTCAATCAGTTTCAGCGTAATTGTGCGTGCTTCAAACTTTTACACACAAATAATGTAATTTTACAGGCCTATCAAATTAAATTAGTTTAGAACTGTGTAAATGAGCGTATAGGCCTATATTTATTTATTTAGCGCCCATTAATATATTCACAAAACACATTATAAGAAAGATGTGACAATGCACATTTTTATTATTACTTAGAGCTTATATTGTTAGGCCTATCTCAAGAGGATGGTGATCGTATATTACAGTGAACACCAAAAATATTTTGCAATGAGTCTAATATGTTCCTCGTTGGTCCTTCATCATACTTCAGTGTCATCATGTACGGACCGGAGTTTATCGCCTGATCCGATCCAGGACGACACGAAGGAGACGGACAATTCCACATCCTCAGATAAGGACACTAACAACAACGAGAACGAGGAGCAAAACTCGTGCACGAAGCGGCGGGGCCCGCGCACCACCATCAAGGCCAAACAGCTCGAGACTCTGAAAGCCGCGTTCGTGGCGACGCCGAAGCCCACGCGACACATCCGCGAGCAGCTCGCGCAGGAGACAGGCCTCAACATGCGAGTCATACAGGTAAGAACACATTTGGATGTATTAACTTATTTAGGCCATTTTATATCTACATTTCTTTCAGATTTTAAACATTCTATCAGATAATGCAAGCATTCACCTCAAACGAAATTAAATAGGCGAATATGTTTAGGATATAGCTACGTGCTTTTGTTTGTTTTTTTGTCATTTATTTATTTAACACAGTTACAGAGTACAACCACTACTGTCATAGAGATCAGTCACGTGTTTATTAGAGTAACATTTCTATGCTGATAGGCTATTTCGCCAAAGTTTTAATTAATCAGTTGTAGCCTATTGTACAAAAGCTTGGTTTGACAAGATTGACATTTGAAGATCATGCCCTACTCACAAACCTTACAAAAGGTTGAAAAAAAAAAGGAGACACATTTAAATTGTTCAGGAAGTTCATCTAAAGGAATTGTACACCAGTTAATAATAGTAGGCCTATAATATAACAGGTAATGAGCAAGTTTATATATATACATATATATATACATACATACTTGGTTTGTCATATTTGTAGTGGTGTAATGTTCTGGTACATATAGATTATGACAAAATACAAATATCGTTTGGAATTTTCACAGTTGTAAAGCAGTTAAAGTTGTTAATGGCTTTTTATCAGGTAGTAGGCCCTGATCAAAAAAAAAGCAAGATAATGTCAGCTTAGCTACATGATAGGCTTGTCAGTTCCTGCTGAGAAAATATGAATGTGAAAGACAATCTGTTCTGACAGCAATTACAGCCAAAGGTTTCCACTAAATTTAAGAACGTTCTGTTTTTAAAATGCTCAAATAATTGAAGAGGTGAAATTTACTTGAAAAGGTGTTGGCTGACAAACACAACCATGCTGTAAAATGCAGATAAAGGTCAACACCATTAGTGAGAACGAGAGTTTTCCACCAGTTATCAGTGAAGCATAAAAGTATTTAGTCCTGAAGCATTTAGTAATTTTGATATATTATCAAAATATTAATTACAAGGATAACTTGAATATAAATCTAAAGAAACGATCAAATTCAGCAAAAATACAGCATCTTAACACAGATTTATCATCAGGTTCATATGAAGTCCATATAAAAGTAAAAAAGCAAAAGGATCTTGGTTCTTGATCTCTTATGACTAAAGTTATCCTGGGTTATATCTGTGAACTCAAGCACACAGCTCATCTTCCCGTGTCACTGTCATCATTAAGAAATCGCAACCCTCTCTGAATCCCAGCAAGGCTCAGTGCTTTGTTTCTGAGCCAAAATGGAGACGTCCTTTGCCACACGTCCCTGTTCATTTGTTATGTGTTAAATGTGGATTGCGCTCTGCGCGGGGAGCCCTCCGGAGCCATGCCGGTTCAGCAGCATGTGTGTGTAATCCCTAAGCAACGCTCACTCAGGAGGAGGCAAAACATTTCCATTAAAAATGTACCAAACAGTTAGCCGATTGTTCTCAATAAGCAGGTGTTGCCTTTGCTGAGCATGGAGAGGAATGCTTAAGTGGTTTTAGGTAGAGAACATGTTTTGTCTCTCTAATATAGTCTCTCTCACTCTCTTTTTCTCTTTCGTACATGGCAGGATTGTGCCTCCAGAGCAGACTTACTGTTGTTAGCATATATTATGCAGTGGCAATGCAGATTCAGGCATGAATGTGTTACATTGTACCATCATGCATAACAATGTCACCTTATGTCAGACATTTTCACATCATCCTCTGCTCTTTGTTCCTGCGCAAGCAGTTTATATGACAACAGTGTGAAAAACAGCCCTCGCGGTGTTTGTTGAAGCACACGGCTGTGATTCTTTTGACTAAAAGGTTATATTTGAGTTCCACCAGCACAGTGGTATGTCAAATTGCCTTGGTCTTACTAAAAGATTGAAACAATGTTCAACAGTGATGAGTCTGATATTGCATCTGTCACACACTGTTATATCAGGTCTATTTGTAACGAGCTGGCGGTGCCGTGATCAAACGATACTTGTCAGCACCGCAGTGTCTCAGAAATTATGTGCATGCGTGCACTAAGATGAGGGACTGGTGAAATCATCACAGCATATTAATTTTCGCAGGAATATAAATCTTGAGAATCTATTGCATTGTAGTTCGGTAGTCTGACAAAACTTATTTAACAAGCTGGGCAGGATCAGTTATTATGTGTTAGTTTCTTTCATTAATAGGTTGAGCTGCAATATAAACATGAAACAAGTGAACATTTGTTCATGTATGTATGCATACACACACATAAACCTATAGTGGGTGTAATTTTGATGGTCATAATGAGGCTAACTTGGGTAAATATTTCATACTGCTCCATTCATCCTCTTGGTATTTAGTTAATCTGGTCACATTATTATATATATAATGACAATTCAAAGCTTAGAAAGTACTGTGACAATGTTTCGATGAACATTGACCAGTAACATTTGCTGTTAATTTCCCTCATTAAGTTGCTTATGTGTTTCTTCAAGCAGATGTGCTGCTAATACCATTAAATCAACAGGAGTGTTGCTAGTAAATCACTAAGAGTATTATTTTCCTCCTGCAATGGATGAAAAAAAAATCAACCCTTAAGGAAAAAATAAATGAAATAAGGAAAATCACCTTCATTTCATTCCAAACCTCTATAAGATTTGAAGATATTTAGAAAAAAATGTTTTCGTCTATTCACAGGGTCAAAGTTGTTTGGACCCCATTTACTTTCATTGTATGGACAAAAACTTTTTCTCAAAATATCTTCTTTTGTGAAGAAACAAAGTCTCTTTAACCAACATAAGACGAGTCATGATGAAAGTAAAGTAAGTTTAGTTGTTTTATGTGGTGTTATTACTTACACCACTCATCTAAACCATCAGGTCACCTTGGACAAGTGTAGAAAATGACCCATTTTCTAATTAGAAAGTAATTTGAAATGTATAAACGTGAGGTGCATCTCATCTCACTTACCTCTGTGTTGTAATTACATGGTATATAATTGTGGCTTTGCCTTGTAGGTGTGGTTTCAAAATCGGCGGTCTAAAGAACGCAGAATGAAGCAGATCAGCGCTCTCGGTGCTCGACGACACACTTTCTTCAGGGGACCACGCAGAATGAGGTCACTCGGAGGAAGACTAGAGGACCCTGACATAATGGGCCCTGGAGGATACAGCTACTATGGAGGTAGATAAACACAAAGAATGTTCTTTTTGTCAAAACACACATTTACACACAATAACATGAGCTGTCTCTCTCACACACATAGCCTGTATCTTCAAGGCTTTCCTCTTACCTTGAAAGCACAAAGACTCTTACAAGCAGCTTCTCTTTGGTATTAAGATGCTAACACAGATTTAACACAGAATCCAAAAACTACGAATATGTCATCAGAGCATAAAACAAGAAATAGAAGACAGGCATCCACTGGAGTTCATTGGAGAACTCTGCAGAGAAATCTGATTAACAAGACCATGAAAGCAATAAATTGTGTGCGTTACCTGTTGTGCAACATTCCAGCTTGGTCACTGTGATTGGATTTGCACATGCACACTCCTGGTATGTGACATACTAACAGGTGTTTGGCAGAGATGCGAGCTGTGTTTTAATTTCTGTAATGAGTGAACATAGCAATACAATCAGAATACAGACACCAACCATCCTACAGTTAATCGAAAAAGTGCATATTTCAAATCCCTCAAAAAGCATACATTTCCAGCTTTGAGAACATGGAAACCGATAGACATACTGATCTCCAGAGGTCTGACGTTGATGATTCGACTATCTATCACTCAGCGAGCAAGTGGCGTTTCTTTATAGTAAAATGTCTTTTGATGATTGATTAGCACATTCAAAAGTATCATAACTGCAGGAAAAAAAAATTATGGAATTGGGGAGGAATGTTAATGACTTTCTGTAGCACTAATTATATAGGCCAATCGCAAAGGTATGATGGAACGAGAGGACGGACATGGGAGTAAAAATGAAGACACATGCCTCTGCACTCTCCTACGATTTCCACATTTATTTATATCCTCTTTCCTCACCTTCCATTAGAGTATTTTCATTCATTAGCACTGTCTTTGTTACATTCTCGTAATACATTTTTTTGGTCGTAGCCAAACTATTCTGACACATTGTCTTGGAGAATGAGGAAAAACATGAAATTGGGAATCAAATAAAAGTATTACTCATTGTGAGGTAATTAAATGTCATGTACACTGATTTTTCAAAATGGTAAACAAAACAGATTGGAGTATGTTTCACAAGAATATACTCTCAGTTTTTCTATTTCTAAAATCTAACATTTAATTCAAGGTGTCAGTTTGTTTTAATTCTTTGTGAAATTGGCTTGCAATCTAACTGCTTCTACACCATTTTTTGAGTGTACTTAACCTAACAAGCACTTTTTCTTTTAAATGTCAGAAGCATTACTGATTGCTCTCTATTTTTCTCCTCAGAATACCAAGGTGACTACTACGGGCCAGTGGTCAACTACGATTTCTTCCCTCACGTACCCCCTTCCTCACAGGCGCAGTCTCCAGCCGAGTCCCCTTACCTCCTCAGCTCGGGTTCAGGAGCCCTGGAGGGCGGCCCGGTCTCCGCTCACCACCCCTCAGACGACCAAAGGTTCACGGACATGATCTCCCACGCAGATACCCCCAGTCCCGAGCCAGGCATGACCGGACCTCTCCATCCCAATCCACAAGGGGAGGGTGGCTTCACAGGGGGTCCGAGTCCACCCTTCCCCCTGGCCAACAACACCAGTTACAGCGGCCCCCTGTCCCATCCTGGTCAAGAGATGGGGGAGAACACTGTTTGGTAGGACAGAGAGATGGGAAAGACTCTGAACTATGGACACAAGAGGGAATTCCACCCTAACTGGTCTGCCTTAGTGCTATAGGTTACTGAGGGAGGGTTTATCGGCTGGTCATGGACCAGAACAAACCAATATTTGGAGCTGAAAGGTGGAAAGACATACGTTTCTACGGTCAAAGGATGTGTATTGTCAGTGGTCATCTTGACCAATCACATTGGTTTGATTCCGTTGATATGGTTTCCTGAGTTCAGTATTACGATTGCGACAATAGCGCAGATGTTCGTCCATGGGGTTTTCTACTGCTTTGACTTACTGATTAGTAAAAGCTTTCAAACTGCATTTGATGGTCAGAAGCGAGCTAGTACTTAAAGGTAACACCATTTTCATCCTTTCGTTGGCTTTAGTTTCTTCCTTTTCTGAGATACTGAGGCTCAATTTGTTCAAATTAAAAAAACTGTCTTAAAACTGGTCCATTTGTAACATATTTGGTTCATTCATTAACTGCTGAATTGGTTCATTAAACATTTCGATGAACACTCGGTATACCTGTGTTCTGATGAATCTACGCCTGCCAAAACACACTTTGTGCTAATCAAATATCTGATACGTAATTTGACTTTTAGGTTCACTGAATCAAAAATTATAACATGTTTCAGAGGGAAAAGGTTATTTTTAGTTGAAGTAGAACTGTTACCCCTACTATGGTCAAATTGACCCAAGAGTTTCAATTTACAATCCAACAACTAACCTTAAATAACCAACAAGCTAATTGCATTTTCTAATTTTAGTATACAAGATATCAAGTTCTACACAGAAATGTTGATGTTAAGTTGCTGTAAATCACTGTTAAAGCTACCAGGATTAAAATGACCCTCACACAGCAAGGAAGGGTTAACTAAACATTAGGTTGACTATGAGACCTAAATGATTTTGGGTTTGAAAACACCTTGGGACAATAAGGCTTAGCATTGAGTACGTCCTGAAGCTGGATATACATATATACTTTTGGTTGTTTCAGTAAGTAGTTTTTCAGTAATAGTTTAACAATTCAAATGTTTATATTAATTAAAGTTCCATGACATCACATTCACCATTAGCTTTTGTGACCTCACACAAGAGGAAGTCGCCACTTCAGAAGAGGAAAAAATCAGTAACAATGAATGATTTTATGTTTTATCTCTTCAGTATTCACATTTAAAAACAAACATATGCACCTGCAACACATGGAGACATCTGCCTTACCCAAATCACCTCCCATCCCCCATCTTATACATAGAGGCTTTTGCCCACACAGTGATCTGTCATTGAGAAGCTCGCAGAAACGCCTGACGAGCCTGTGCGTTGTTCAACTTCATTTAACCTTCGCTTTAGTACCTTGCTTTGAAAAAAATGTTTTAATGGAAATGATTTTCAAAAGAACATTGAAGCCATAATGAAGAATCTCCTTTAACAGCTGAGGTCTCTCTTCTCAATGGGGGGAAAACAAAAGGACGGGACAGGCAACATCTGTGACTTACCACTGCACCCTGAACAGCCTCCAGACTGAAAGCAAGCGCCATCTTTTGGGCTAGTGAAGAAAAACAATTGTCTAGACAAATGTCACCTGGACATAGGGGGGCATAATTTTGTAAGTATTTAATTAACTAGTTTTGACACTAGAGAGAAATGTAGAAACTGACACTACAGTATTTAGGTTTAAAGGATTCAATGTAATCAAAATATATAGTATATAAACTGGGTTAAATTTAATTTAATTTCCTAAGACATCCCATTGTTTGCTAACTGTTGTTAAACCAAAATTTTTCATGTTAAATGTTAAATCTCAAATTTTGCAAAACCAAGTAAGCACTCATAGTACAGGTAAAATGATTTAACATGAACGAAAAAAAGAAACTGATATTTGTTTTGTAAAAAAAAATTTTTTATAACCACAAAGAAAATGTAAAAAAAAATTTTTTTTTAAACTGTTATCTCGGTAAAAGTTATTCAATGTTAAAAGTGACTCAGTACTACAAGGTCTTTCAGCGCAGCATTCAATCAATTAAACAAAAACAATCTTATAGTCCATCAAACAAAAATCACCAGTCACTAAAGAAAACAAACACCAAATAAAACAAATCACAGAAGTCACTAAACAAACAAAACAAAAACAATCTTAGAGCTGACCAAACAAGACAAATCCACTAAACCACCACACAAAATTCACCAAAGAAATGTCACATGCAAGACTAAATGAATCTTAAGAGACCACCAAACAAAACAGTAAAGTTACTAAACAAAACACATCATCAAACAAAACAAATCACAAAAGAGAAGTCATTAACAAAACAAAAACTAAACTCATCTTAGAGCCAACGAAACAAATCCAACAAAATCACTAAAACCAAAAACAACAACAAAAAACAAACATTCTTAGAGCAAATAATTATAACTAAACAAGACAAACTATCAAACAAATCAACAAAAAAATAACACTAAACAAAACAAAAAACAAAAATAAGATTTTAGCTGTTGATACTGCCATCAGGTGGGGACAACCTGGAACATTGTCCCAGGAATATTTTTTATTTTTTTTATAAATCCATTAAATAAATTCTTGAAGCCCTTTATGGGTATTTCCAAAGTGAGGATATAATGTATAATTGTTAATATGAATAAGTAATTCAGTCATTCCTGTAAATCCATTCAAACTTATCTGCAAAGTTTTCCTACTCTCTCTTACATCGGTGTTGACAGCAATCACATTCAAACAACAAACATGCATTTCACATGTATCTGCTTTCATGCCCAACATGTTTTCAAGGTTATGACTCTTATTACTCATGCATTTAGGGACTTGTAGGTCCCCCTCCTTCCCCATCCCTTGTCTCAGTGGGCTCAGGTGGGCCTGCGGAGGACCACGCAGGCCCCAATTTTCCCCCTGACTGGTTTTAACATAAGGGGTAATGTGAGAGGAGCAGGCACAGGCTCTTCCACACCATCTCCTCCCCCAGAGAGACTCTGAGCCGGGCTAGATCCCGCATGCAGCCCCTCCTGCCGTGGAGAACGTGGTCTTCAGTGCCACCATACCATTACTGCCTGCCATATTCCTCTATTATTTACTTCTCCTCCTTCTCTCTGTTTTCTCCCTGGAGCCCTGCCAGCACCATCTCTCGTTCGGTGAGGTAGAATAGAGGTCTTTATCTCAGGGAGGTGAGGACGAGAAGGCAAGGAGCTCGGGGACTGAAAATGTGTGTGTGTATACACATAGACATACGAATCGGAGCTTCACAGGCACACTTGTACATCTCAGAAAAAATCTTTACACTTTTATTACCCAAATATATCCGATGTCTTGGTTCTGCACACACACACACAGCAAAGTCCATTATCACAAGAGCCTTTTTGTAATGGATTTCCTTGTTTTGCTTCAGTGAGAGGGAAGAGGAGGTGGTGGAGGGGAGAGAAGCCTTCTGTTGTTGTTATAAATCACCTGCTCGTTCTCTCACACCTCTCTCCCTCCCGTTTCTCCGTCCCATGCTATCCCACAATGCCCCCCTCCACCCGGCACACAATCAGCCCCACAGCACAGGAACCCCTAGAAAGTCTCTTTCACTGCAAAGCCTCTCAGCATCCCTCCTCACTTTGGTTTGCTTACTCTATCGCACTCTTCAGCCTAGGTTTTATTATCGTTCTCGTCACCTTTTCTCTTCTCTTTAGAGATTACAGTTATATTTGCACATTTTCTTTTTGATTTCAGACTCTTCGAAGGTCAAACATTTAAGCATAATCGTGAACAGTTTTATTTGAGCAAACTTGAATATAGCTGAGGAAATTAAACAATCAAAAGTTGTTTTTGCTTTAAACAAATCTATCAATCAACTACTGATTGTGAGGGGGGTTTTTTTCAGATGGAAAATTACATTTAGATTTGTTCTTGTGTATTTTTAGTTCAGCTCAAAATGTCCCAATTGCACATTATAAACCTGTTTGGTAGGACTATTTTAAAAGGTTGTTATTACACTGTTTTCTATTCTGTGCATATAGTATATACAATAGTGATATTAAATGGTTTTAAAAGTGTCTGTTACAGTTTATTCATTTCAGCTGTAACTAACTTTAAAGCTGACTGAAAATAAACTACGATGCATTATACTAGTAATTGTATTTCTATTTTTTTCAAATATCTGTAAATATTTAAATACATTAAAATACTATTTAAAATACTTTATTAAATTAATAACTTTTTGTAGAAAAAAAACAAGAAAAAGAAATAAATAGATGTAAATAATATAGTATTAATATTAAATAGTTTAAAATGATTTAAATTAAATTATTTAATACTATTATATATATATTTTTTTTATTGATATTTAATTTATTTTTTAATATTGATGAAAATATAAAATAGCAATATTATAAGGTTTAAATTGGTTTAAATGGCTAGCTACATTTTACCTATTTTAGCTGAATATAACTAATGATGACTGAAAATAAACTAAAAAACTATTTCTAATTTTCAAAATATTTGTAAACACTGTAATACATGAATATACAATAATATAAACATAGTTGAATAAATACCTTTTCCTATAATAAAAAAAAATCTCAAAAGGACTAGAAAATCTTTTTTCCCCATAAAATGTTAAATTACATGTTTCTTTTTTTTTAGCAGTTTCTTTCTCTAGAGGTTTTACCGTTTTAAAACATTCTCCCTTTTCCCACAGCAGCCCAAATTCTCCGCTTAAGCGTGTCCAGACCATCCAGAATTCTCTGTAACCTCTCACCTCCACCTGCTCAAACCTCCTGCGTTGTCACCTCTCCTATCACCTCTCGCAATCTGCCTCCCCTCTCCTCTCCTGCACACTTCCTCATGCGCCCAGCCTCTCCTCACTGTAGCCTGGGGCTGGGAAATCCTATTAGCCTTTACCATGGGAGAGAGCAGGAGACACATCATTAATTACACACACAAACCCACTCCTGACAGTGCCAAGCTTAATCAGCCAGGACCATAAAACACACACACACACACACACACACAGAACAGCTAGTGCACCCACACCACAAATACACAGACGTACGTGCAGGTACACACACACACTTGCAGATATATACCTTGCACAATTGGTTTGCAAAAACCATGCACAATTCAAAATGTGTGAAATATACATAAAGAGGTATCTTTTGTTAGGTTTCCATCTATTTCCTTGAAAACCTATCAAAATACCCCTTTACCAATTCTCTTTTAAGATGAGCAGTTGCACACATATAGTCAATGAAAAACGAAATTCAAAAGATGTGGAAATTGACTAAAATTTGCTAAAATGGATAAAAGCTGGAAGAACAAGGTAGGGTAAGGCAGAAAAAGCCAGCTGGGTGGCTTTTGTTAGA